GACAGTGAGGCTATTAGAAAGTTTTCAGATAAATACATTGTCCCCGAAAAGCTTGTGGCAGAGTATGTTGAGCACCTTGCCCAGATAAAAATGCGCAAGAAGAAGAAAGAGGAGACTGAAAGGGAGCGAATGGAACGGCTGAAGCGGGAGTACAACGACATTGACTGGGTTGGACTGTACAACTCCGATAAGCTGTCGTCCTTGAGGGTGGACGAGCTATCCTTGTACTTTTCCCATCACAAGATCACCTTCAAAGGGAAAAAAGCTGAAAAGGTCGCAATGATCAAAGCGCACATTGGCAGCTTGCTGTACGATTCAATGGAGTGTCAACAACTTCGGCAGCTTCCGCTAAGAAATGTGCAGCAACAAGTGACCTCATCACTTTCCGAGGTTGAAACTGACTCGCAAAGCTAAGTGATGTAGTAGATCGAGTTGTCGGTTCAAGCCCGAGTAGCGTAAGTAATGAATCGTCACCGGAGATTGATTTTATACCAGAACCCCACGCGGAAACATCACCACCGTCAAAATATGGTCGAAAGCGGGCACGGGTCGAGAGAGACAATTATGTTAGTTGGGACAAGATAGTTTTTTGAAATAATATTTCGACACCTGTAAAGAATTTAGATTAATCTTGACTGGGAGCTTTGCTTGTATATACAAGTTTTAGGTTTCTATACACTTCGCGTGTTTGTTAGCAAATAAGAGTCAACTAAGGGACATGGAGTAATTTTTTCCTTGCCAAAAGAAACTGTGACCCTCCCCCGGTTGCAAATAAAACAGGTTTGACCCTCACCAATTTGTAAAAACTTTACTAATGACCCTCCCCTCCGAAGCCCCGGCCCACCCTCACCCGCCAATAAAAGACGTACCTTCCTTTTCAAACCATAGCTAGCGAAGGATACTATGCCTGTATAGTAGGTTCATTGTCGCAAAAATTTCTTTAATTTAACCTCTTAGAATCTGGTGATGATACACTGAATTAAATAACAGCAAGTCGGCAAGATTTCAAATGTCACACTTGAAATCTTCAAGTAAACTTGATTTCATTTTAATATATATATAATCTTTTTGCAAGGCAACTTGCTCGGGCTTTTGTTTAACAAACAAAATAAAGAGTGATATTGCTTTAAGATATTTATCAAGCACTTCCCGCTAAGAATAGACCGTGCATGTATTGTACGAGTTGTTTCAAGTTTACGAAGTTGCGACACGCACATAGTTTGAAACAAATAGTTTTGATTTTGCCGAAAAATAGAAGAGCTTATGAATTCGATACGCGTGGGACTAAAGTTCGGCTCCTTTGATGGAAATTAAAACTGAATAATCTATAGAACGACCTTAACTTAGTTTTACCTAAAGGGAGCGATGACAACCCAACGTACCTTAATAATCTAGATCTCTTAAAAAGATACCCTGTTCAACAAGATTGACCAATTGTTCCAGTAATCAATATATATCTCTTCTCCGCAAAAAAGCCACGCAGTTATCTTATTAAAATGCCGATATTTGATATTGTCTTTTTCTTGCATAAAAATATATTTATCCCGCACGTTTTAAATAGTCACTTTGTTTGTAATGACCGCTTTTAAGTACTACGGCGGACTCGGTGTGGTCTCGAAGAATTTCTTTCACGAGCCTGTCATTCATGGATTTGCCTCATGACTGGCGTAAGACATAGAAGTATTTCTGGGTGTAGCATAGCGCTGAGACATATAAAATTTCCTCGTAAGTCGTTTAAGTCGCCAGAAACTACAGAATTATACTTCAGGGCGAAAGAGGCTATTTCTTAAACGAAAGGTATCCATCCACCGCAAGGTCGACGCTAACATATCAACACTGACTTCCCAGGTTAGGAAAGAGAGCGGGTCCTTAATCAAGGCGAGATACAAGTGCTCAACAATTAATTCATGATATAACTCCTTGTGTCGCACGGCCATGCAAAGCTCACCGGGTCAGCGCGACGCGATATCACGAGTCAAAACAAATCTGGATAAAATCCTGGAGGAAACCGAGCACGCTTTGAAAACCAGTAAATACACATCAACAACAAGTTCAAGTTCTCTCGACCGAAACGTCAGACGAATGCCCACAGACAAAGAGAATTGGGATGGAGCGACAAATCGGGCGACATCAAAGTTCGAAGTGGTCAATGTCTTGCTTCAAATCCTTCAGAAACAAGAAGAGCTGACTGTAGAGGAGTATACGATCAACAACAGCACTTTTAAAGTTCTTGTTATCGAAGATACGGAGTTTTAACGCCTGGTCAGTTGTGTTATTGACACGTTTCGTTTTGGAAGATATCTGATGGCCGTTATAGCATCTGTCGACGATTTAATACGATGTCGTGAAAAGGGCATTAGAATTGTAAACGAGTACCGAAGCGGGGTAATCAAGCAAGTGTTTTTTCCCTGTGGATACCGAGTCAAGTATTAAGCAGCCTGTGGAATTTTTCTATTGAACAATTTACTGGCTAGCCACATATTCATGTCGGATTGCTTAGCAGTAGACCTAAGTATTCTTGATTAAGAGATCAGACATCAAATTTTTTTTTTCATGTATTTTTAGGATTTGGCGGACTGAAATATAAACAAAGTAAACTAACCGCTGGCCTTCTAGCTAGCTGGGACGGAATCTTTAGACAATGGAAAAGTCATTTGGTAAACACAACTATTTATGATGCATTTTACTACCAGAAATCACCAGTCGAACACTCTAAGATTTATTCTGAATAATGTTATTGCGGGTATTAGAAATATCTATATAATTTNTAGCCACATATTCATGTCGGATTGCTTAGCAGTAGACCTAAGTATTCTTGATTAAGAGATCAGACATCAATTCTTTTTTTTTTTTTCATGTATTTTTAGGATTTGGCGGACTGAAATATAAACAAAGTAAACTGCCCGCTGGCCTTCTAGCTAGCTGGGACGGAATCTTTAGACAATGGAAAAGTCGTTTGGTAAACACAACTATTTATGATGCATTTTACTACCAGAAATCACCAGTCGAACACTCTAAGCATTATTCTGAATAATGTTATTGCGGGTATTAGAAATATCTATATAATTTGGATGCTCGATGACCACTTAGAGCTAAATGGCATATCAACGCCATTTGCCAAAACGTACCGTATCAATATAATTTCTTGGCAGATCGTTCTGGACACCCGCCACGCATTTCAGGATTTTAGCAGTGATTGTCAATTCCTTGCGTTGGTTTGGACTTCCCTGTTTTGAAAATAAAAATCTTACACAATATACATGCGCTATATTTCCATTTTTCGTACGAAATACTAAAGCAATTTTCTACGTATTTACACTTTAGACCAACAATCACGTGTAAGGGCAACGGAAAAAAAAAAAAANTCACCAGTCGAACACTCTAAGATTTATTCTGAATAATGTTATTGCGGGTATTAGAAATATCTATATAATTTGGATGCTCGATGACCACTTAGAGCTAAATGGCATATCAACGCCATTTGCAAAAACTTACCGTATCAATATAATTTCTTGGCAGATCTCTCTGAACACCCGCCACGCATTTCAGGATTTTAGCAGTGATTGTCAATTCTTTGCGTTGGTTTGGACTTCCCTGTTTTGAAAATAAAAATCTTGCACAATATACATGCGCTATTTTGCATTGGCAATTTCCATTTTTCGTACCAAATACTAAAGCAATTTTCTACGTATTTATGCTTTAGACCAACAATCACGTGTAAGGGCAACGGAAAAAAAACAAAAACAAAAACAAAAACACAAACAAAAAAAAACAAAGAAGAGAAATAAATAAATCGATAAACAAAAAATGAAAACAAATAAAACTATGGTTCAAATTTTAAAGAAATTAGAGGAAATCTTATCAAGCTGCTCGTTCTTGCGGTAACAACAATTAATACAGCATAGTTGAAATAGCATGTTTGAGAGGAATGTTTCAAACAGGATAGTCTTTTGTTTTCGAAGTATGCGTGGCTGTTACCAGATCACAAATATAAACATGATATACTATCAAATATTATTAGTATTATTAGTATTGTTATGTTATTTTTCAAGAAATGAGCAAAATAATCGATATTGCTCTATTAAAAAGAATTGCTCAAACTGAACATGCCAACTTTAAAAGCCTGTCAGCTGAGAAGTTCCAGAATTGCTTAAGCAAGTTCATTCAGATATTGAATGGGTCAGATATCGAAGCACTTTCAGAGAGTGGTTGTTCTAATATAATCGGGAGAACTTTGATTGAATAATTATCGATCACGTACGGTCAATAGCTTTGAGTTTCTTAATCTTGCGGGAAAATATGTATTGACGATGAACGATTTTTTTTTCGGTATCACCGTATTAGTTTAAAGTGGCAAATTTCCAATTTGTAAGTGACCAATGAAAGCGCGGCGGGAATCATCTACTTAAAAGAAAAAATGTCTTTTGTTTAAATGCAGGGGAGAAGAGGCAATTTCTCTCTGTGTTTCACATATAGAATCAAACTTTCAAGAGTCCGCGATAATTGTGGTTGTAATTTTTTTTTAAAAAAAATCCGCTTATGAAGTTGTAATACAACAATCAGATTTAAATATTGAGAATTTCTTTCATGTTTTATCGTATTACCAATGGAAAAGCTGATTTCTACGAGTTATTCTTAGATGGGACCCTAATTTGTGACCAATGAAATATATAACTGTATTTAAGTGTTGGGCAGTGATGAAATATATATATATATGACCAGAAGCATATCACCTAGATTAGGTGATATGCTGGGCACACGGTGAATCTAATTCCGGTAAAAACCAAGTGTGTCACAACTGAAATAAAGCTTAATTTAATTAATTACTAAGTAATGCTTTTATGCCTCTATTGTTTCGTTATCCACGTCTTATAAAATGAAATTTGAAACTAATTTTGTTTGGGCTTTGGTGTAATCCGCTCGCCGTGAGTATTGTGCTTGCCAAGTGTTTGGTGTAACAAAAATGCCTAAGACAGCGAAGAATTTCCACAAGTCGAAGTTCTTTGGAAGATCATGCTTTCCCAAGTTTATCCTAAGAGGTTTGTTTTCACCCTCATTTCAGAAGCTACATTTTTTATTAAATAAATCAAGGTTACGAGTGTTATTATCACAAGTACATGTAGAAATTGCCGTTGAATGGAACTTTGAGGTCCCCTTTGAGTGGCATTGTCGGTCTACTTTGACGTCATGAAATCGTGCGCACATCACGTGCTTAAAACGTGACACAAATTCAGTCTGGACAGACTATAGCTAATACATAGAGCATCTTAAAACACGAAGGCGCGCTATAAAAGGGCATAAGGTCCGCCCCCCAATTTCGAAGTCACGGGGAAATCAAAATGGCGGACTATATGAAGAACAACGGTACACTTTCTGCTCGAGCTGTTTTGATATTTACAGCTTAAGTTCTGCACAAAATAGCCTCAGAAAACAGCAGTTGTAGCATTTCGAGGTGAAAAGTATTAAAAAGAGTGAAGTAAAAACCATACGTGTTCACAAAACTAAGCCTCCAGCAGGAGAAATGGTCAGAATTCAAATCGCGCGCCATTTTGGTTGCATACTCGCTCCTTAATGGTGGCTGGACGGGTATTTTTTTGTCATTTTTGAGCCTACAGTTCTGCATTTAGTATCTAGTAGTTTCCCACAAAATTTATGCGCGATTTCGAATACTGAACGGCGAAGAGGCTGGCTGAACAACAAATATTGGCGACTGCGAGCCGACTTTGTATTGACGGGTTGATTACAAGTACTCTTTGCTGGCAATCAAAATGCTCACGGTTGGTCCTCCCGAAAAGAAGACGAAAATAGAGAGAAACAAGGGGAAAAACGCGAACCGAGATCCAGAGAAGCGAAACCCGTATTTCAGCCTGACAGTGGAAGTAAAGCGGGAGGATGAAGCCCACTTACAAAGTTTGCGCTGTCGGCTAGATCATGCAAAGTCGCTCCTCGGTATCGACCGTAAAACTTACTCGACGCAAAATGCGGATCTCTTGGAGCAACTTTTAAACTGCTTCGAACTGGTGATGCCTACAGCAGTCAATGTAGCTAGGGCCATCTCCAGCAGCATCCACCAGCTCGGTGCAGCCGCCACCAAAAAACTCGCTGGAACTCGAACAAGAACATCAGCGACCTGCTTGGCGACCACAAAAGAGGCAGATTTACGTAGCTGCTTCTGTGGATGACCCTTTCTTTGTTTGCACTGGTGAATCGCTTAAGTCACTGGTGAAGTACTTCACAAGAAATTCGCAGTGTGAATTTTGTGGCGGGGACTATCAGTTTTCCGGATTGTCGTTGTCCAGGCATGGCAATGTTTGCCGTTTGGAGCTCCTTTGTGTTTGCGACGATTCAGTGGTTTGACTTAGTTCAGGGTTACTTGGTCATCCTGCCAAGTATGTTGCAAACGTGAGGTAAGTAAAGAAAATTTAATTTACCTCCCAGTATTTTAGAAGCTGACATGATTAAACAAAAGTAATAAGATTGTTTACCACCGATTGGTACTGAAATTTGGACCACATTCTTAAACTGTGATTAACAGTCAGTTGTTCTGTTTTTGTTAGTTTATAAAGTTGAAAACCCGTGATTTTGTTAAACTGCTGGTACACTATTCCATTATGGAGTGTCCTACTCACTATAGCCAATTCCTTTTCTGTAGGATGGTGCATGCATTTTCCTGTACTGGTTTGACAGAAACCCAGTACCATAGCTTTGGCGAGGCTGTAGGCATTGGCTCTGTTCGGGACAAGACGATAAACACAAGTGGGTAGTTTTCTTTCATTGCACTCCTGGTTTGTGGAGGTACAGTGACCTAATGCCAGTACACTGGACTCCCGATCAAGTGGTCTGGATTCGAGACCTGATGGTCAGGGCACTGCATTGTGGCCTTGGGGACAACACTTTTCTCTCAAAGTGCCACTCAATGCCCAGTTGTATAAAAAGGTACTGGCAAATGTAATGCTTGGGAAAACCCTTTGATGGAATACCATCACATCCAAGCAGGAGTAGAGGTACTCCTAGTCGCTCCCGCAAAAGAAACCGAGATAAGCTCCGGCCTAGGGGGTCTTTTTGCTTGTATGCAGACTATGCAGACCTTTCCCCAGGTTAAGGTTTATTCAGAAGTAAGTCATTTTCATCTCTCACTTTTTATAGTCTACAAGGATCAATGTTTTGGATACTTCAAAATAGTGATGGATCTTGCCCAGAAATCCATGGCAGACGCCAGACGGGAGGTGCAAGCAACCAACAGCTACAAAACAAATGGCGATGTAAGTTAACATACACAGTGTTTCAATAAAATTTAGTGTATTTTGGTTCTTATCTTTCATCCCTACTCATTTGCAGTGCATCATCACTGATGCCAGACATGACTCCAGTAGGGCAGCCATGCATTCCACTGTCTCAGCCATTTCTATGAGGTAT